AAAGGTCACTTCGGAGGGGCAACTAAATCGGCTGGTGACGAGATCTCGCTGCCAAGTCGGAGTCCCGCCGCACCACTAAATCACACCAAGGCCTCGGAGCGACCGGCCCCGCTTCTCAAGGTGAAGTCCAAGACGCACAAAGCCAAGAAACGGTCCAAAGACAAGCCCAAGGATCTCTCCGTCCGTCGGCGTGTGGGCCGACCAAAGGGGAAAAGCAAGAAACACAGCCATGCCGTCCCCGCCCCCACCCCTCCCACTCTGTCCCCCATCTCCCCACCCCACAAGCCTTCCTCACCGCCTAACAAACCACAAAAAGACTCGTCCAAACGTAAACAGCCAGTCTTCGAGATATGGAATCCATTTGAGGACACGGGAAGTCGAAAACAAACCCCGGTGGAGGACTCCTCGGCTAAGCCCCGTACGATTTCGAGTGGTGTGCCCACCAAGACCAAGCCCCGGCCGCGGCCCGCCCAAGCCGCGGGCTGGCAGCCTCCGAACGGCCTGATGAACCAGGTTCTCATCACGGACGTCACGACTGGGATGGTCACGGTCACCGTCAGGGAGTGTTTCACCGACAAAGGCTTCTTCAAGAACAGGGGGACGTGAGTTGGACGAGGGCGGCCTCTTACAACTTGCCCGATCTGAGAACTAGTACTAGTAGTAGTACTGAAAAGACAAAAACCTTGACTCCCAGCCAACGCTAGGATATCGAGACAAGCTCGCACGTGTGGTGGCGCTTTGCAGAGATGGACAAGAAGAGACAGTTGTTCTAACTTCTAGTCAGCGGAGAAGTCTTTCCCTATATCTTAAACTTAAAGTCTTACTAACTGTAACAAGACTACAGGGCGCTCGGCGCAGAAAGCAAGAATTACTACTATAGAAGTGGATGTTAAACAGCCATGCCATAGCGTTACATTTCCCTAGCCTGTTGCTGGAAAAAACAACAACTGAGAACTCTGTAAAAGATCTAGAATAACGTACTAGATCTAGTATTTTTCCACAGCCATGCTGGTACAATATGTTAAAATGTTTAAAAAAAAACAACAAGTTGTTTATTGCGTCGCTTGTTTACCATTGTACCATCTTCTTTTTGTCTGAAATTGTAACTTGTTTTCCAAGGTATCTGAAAGAAATGTTTGGTGTAACAGCAATGCTGCATGACTGGTTTTACGTAACACAATTTATTGTCTAATATACAATTTCACTTTTGATGTTCAGAATTCTTGGAATGAGTACTAGATCTACGAGAATTGACTTATGGCGACTGTTTTCTTAATGTATACAGCATTATGTATATCTTTTTTTATGTTGTCAACAAAAACAAGTAATGAAAGACATATCCTATGATCAGTGGGGTAAACTGATTATATCGTGCTATAGGTTACATTCAACCAGCAAATGTGTTCATCCCAGAGATATATGTGATTTTGGTGTAACTTCATAACAGATTAATTTCACAAATTGTATTAATGTGTACAGATCATATAGTATGTGCAACAAAATTGTGGCCAGTGTTGTGCCTGTGCCAGGCTAATTTAGTGGCCAGGACCTAAGTTCTGAACTATTTATTGTACTGTATAACGGCAGTATGTTTATGTAACATAGATTGTCGTGAATTCACGTGGTTGAGACACCGTTCGAATGTACGCGTTGTGTTAGCCTCCGTAGCAGGCTTATAGAACTGGGGGTTTTGTGCTGTTTTCTGATTTAGATCATCAGTTCTAAAACGGGGGTAATTCAACCAGTTGTCTACATGCAATCAGAAAATAGCACATAAAACCTCCCGAAGACCCCCCAAACCCCCAGTTTTTGACATGCTATGGAGGCTACCGTTGTGTAATGTGAGCGCTAGGTTTTTGTGTACAGATTAATTTGAGTGTTATGTTTAGGAAGGTCTCACTGTGAGCTCAAATGAATGCAAGGTGTCCTACCCGTGGGTGCTTTAATCTAATACCTTGCTTAGCTGACAACAAAGCATTAAATGCTTTGAACTTGCGACGGAGTTTTGTTGTGTTTTTTTTTGCTCTGAATATGACTAGGAATAGATAGCATGTCTAAGTACGTGTACTAGTGATAAATATGCTTTCAACAAGTTTGATGCTAAACTTTGAAAAATGAGTTCAAATAACAATGTCTCTGTCCGTAAGAGCTTTTCTGGTGCACAGTTTTTTTTTTCATCATTCAGAAAGAAGCTACGTGATATGATTTTAGAGATATAAGAAGAAAACAATACATATTTACAATATTGTATAAGGCGTGAAAAATGATTATGACACACTGTTAAGACTACCCTTGCTTTGCTAATTTCTGTGTAGAACGGAATTTATTTACGGAGTTTAACTGAGAATGTAAGACGGTATGGTTCAGTTCGGGCTTGTATGTGTGATCAATGACAATGGTTTCAGATCGCCCGCTAAAATGTTCACTAGTTTATGTAGGTAAAAGGCCATGTTTTTTTCTATAGCTCACTAGTGCACTGGCTTCGTAACGTCGGTCGGTCCGCAAGGCTTGACTTTTCCCCGCGTTTCCTAGTCTCCACCAGGCTCCTTTTGCAGGTCGTGCAGGCCAATTGGACCCTTTATAGCCGGGAAACTTCTCAGGCCAATTATATCCTCTTTTTTTAGGCCGATTTCTACGATTTATTCAGCCTGCAAAAGGAGTCTGGTGGAGACTATGCCTATGTGTTTCCCCCTTGTGCACCCCTCGTCATGCTTATACCCAAATCCCCGGCGGTGTGGCTAACGTTTCAGGAGGCATTGTCCTGGCTCCCGCAAACACCGACCAGCCCGGCCCGGGCCGCATTCCCTGATAAACTGAGGTCACCGAGGCCAACCCAACATGTCGGCGGGAAAAAATTGTTCTCCACGCCGCGGCGTTGTTTCCGATAGTCATGGGACGTGGGGAATCTCTCGCGTTCCGTCGTTTGGCTTCTACGAGTCCTGCGTGTTTTCTATCACTCATGTTCACACAAGCACACTGTGCTTCTGTATTGAACTGTCGGGTATACTAAGGTTCATCTGTTTATGTACTAGTAGTGCATGTTTTATTTGATGATAATGAAAGGAATGAAGCATACGTATGTGTAGCAATACATGTGTACATCTATACACCTTGGAGATCGTCGTAGATTGTGAAAAAAAAAAAGAGACGAGTAGTACAGTCTTGAGGTAAAAAGAAGTGAGTATGAATGAACCATGAAGGGCGCCTGAAAGCGATAATTGAGGGAGGGGGGCCGCGGCTAATGCTACCATTCTTCCACGAACTTCTCACACATTTTTGATCTTGACTGCCGCTAACTACGACAAATCTGGCCTGACAAGCCCCCTCCGGCTCCCGGCCTGGTTTGAATCATTCTGCGAGCGACCCGCCAGTACTGAGTGTCAGAAGAGAACGAGCGAGCGGTTCACTGTGTCGTAAAAATGACGAGCTCAACGCTGATGGTCCGACCCGCGGCCGTGTCAGTCAATCAGTATCTTGCTCACCAGGCGCCAGCCAGCGTCAATTCGGCGTCATGCCAGCTCTGCGCCTGTCACGAGACACAAAATCTGATTCAAAACATTCAGTAACGCCAATAAACATACAGCCATCTAGAGGCAACGCTATACTTGGAGTAGGCCGAAGTTCAAAATGGTTAAGTCATTAATACGTTTGGCAGATAAACTTGTTAGTGATGCATGAAATGACTTGAATGCTTTTCCGATATCATTTATATGCGTGGCAACCATATAAGGCCATTTGCTTTAAAAATTCCCTATTTCCTAATTCAAAGAAATAGTATGAAACTAAGCGATTTAACAACTGATTTATACTTCTGTATTCATTATTAATAGCTAAAGTCTTCTCTCTTGTTACCTGGACGATACCCATGTTTTGTGAATATAAGCATATTGCTTGAGTGCGTCACCACTCATGTATTGAATTTTTTTGCATGTTGAAATAAATAAAAAAGAAATAGTATGCAACGCGAGACAAATGAAATTGTTATTACCTGCTTCAAACTGAGAAAAAAATATTGTACAGTCCTACATTTGACTAAAATGGCCCATTGTCAAGAAATCATAACTACCTTAAGCCATTACTGATGTACAGAATGTATTTCTCATAATTTCTATAAAAGTTGTAGACGTAGTGAATAAATACATCACATAGGGGGGCACTATGGTCGACGATTGAGGTTAAAAAGTTAAATCAGAGTGATTAAAGTTGATTGTCTCGTAATAGTTTTTTTTCTCGACCTCCGACCACAGCTTAATAAAAAAAAAGTCAAATCCGTTTATCCCAGGATGCAATTCGACCTATAGCGCATTTTGGCGGGAATTTCCACAGGTGTGTTTGTAGCAGATGGAGGTGGACATTTTGAAATCTCGGACGTCGTTTCGAATCATTTCATCGATCGTTCCTCTTTCGGTAAGCTACAACTTTAGCCTTATTGACATGCTGTAAGATCTATATCAGCTACTGCTAACGCATATTTTACGTGTAAAAGATAGTATATGAACTGAAAATTGTTTCCGTTTCCGTATACCCCCCTCCCTCCACCAGACATAACAATTACCTATATATTAGCCTCCATAGCATGTGAAAAACTAGGGGTTTGGGGGGTCTTCAGGGTCTTTGGGAGCTTTTATGTGCTATTTTCTGATTGCATATAGACAACATAGCCGGCCTGGTTGAATTACCCCCGTTTTTTTTTTGACTGGGCTAATCAGAAAACAGCCGAAGACCCGCCAAACCCCCAGTTCTATAAGCCTGCTACGGAGGCTACTGTAAGATCTATATATTAAAGCTGATGCTAACGCATATGATCTTTACGTGTAAAAGATAGTATATGAACTGAAAATTGTTTTCCATTGACGTATACCCCCCTCCCTCCACAAGTTAGACATAACAATTACCTATATATGCCGTCACAACTTATGGTACAATTTCTTTGCGTTAGGACTTTCTGCAAGAGTATTTGAGAGAATTAACCGACTATTGACAAGGCTCGACTACAACTTTTTCCATCGCAAAACATTCGGACAATTTCACGACTGTCTCAAGACCTCTCTTGCTGTCGTATACTGTCGTACAACGATTGCGACCGGAGTCTTTCAACGGTGAGTGTAAACAATTTTTTTAAATTCCAACATGTAATCACCAGACGTGGTGATGACATACTCAAGTTTCTTCAACTTATATCAATGCCGCCACCAACACAGGGGACAAATACATGACAAGACAATACTCATTTACACCTAAGCTAAGTGAGGAAAGCAGTGTAAAGTGCCTTTCCCAAGGGCACAAGATCGGTGGCATGTCAGGACTCGAACCCGGGACTCTTAGTTCCGAGTCGCGCACTCTGCCGCTACGCCAGACGACCCCGAGACATTTTTTACATCCCCAGTCCTCCGAATGTGATAATTAGTGGTTCTCCCCTTCTTTGTGGCTCTATTTTTTTTATCAAGCTAGGCATCATTGAGTCCGATCAGTCAGGCCGTTATCCCCGGGCAGCGCTAGGAAACCCTACCGGTACCGCAGCTCCAATATTTCGCGCACACCCGGGGACTGGCGCGAGTTCCTCACAGTTTTTTGGGGAACATTCATTAACAATGCGGTGTGTGGTGGACAGGATCGGGCTACTCATTCTTTCCCAAAAGTATCGCAGAGTGGAACTCGCTGTCACCAAGGTGGTACAGTAGGGGCATTGTCATTAGATAGCTTTAAACAATGTCTAGAGCTAGATGTTCAAGGGTTAGGTGTAACAAATCGATCGGTGTAATGTAGCCAGCTGCCGCCGTGCCGCGTGCCTGCGAAGCTGGTGTGTTACGCCGAAGGGCGGTTATACCGGCTATACAGATACAGATATATGCCATATATCAGTTCTTACAACTTGTATGTACATAATTTGCAAGCACGTCTTCTAACAATCACTAAGACATATGATATGATACAATGTCGTAGGTGAACGTTTTAGCCAAGTTCTTGTTTACTTCTAGATCTATACGCTTTAATTTTCACTTGAATATC